TAGAAGGGACGACGACGAGACGCCGACGACGGACGACGACGACGACGACGACGAGGGAGGAGGAGGAAGGACGACCACGGCGACAACGACGACGGAAACGCCCACGACGCCGAAGAGGACGACGACGACGAACACGAGGAAAGACAGAGGACGACGTAGGCGACGACGACGACGACGCGGGAGGAGGGAGGACGGCGACGACGACGACGACGACGCAAGAGCGCGCGCGCACGCTTTTGTTGATAATCCGTGTTGCGAAACCTTGTGTTTTTGTATGTTTTTTGGACACACGGTTTTGACATCCTTCCGAAACCGATGGGTTTTGAAGGATTTCGGCATACGCGCGCGACGACGCGCGTCTGCACTTCGTCCCATCTTTTGCAGAGGATTCTCGCGACGGCACACGCGCAAGGGCGTTCGACAGATTTCGACATGCGCGCGCGCGAAGCCCGTTTGGTACGTTTTTTTGTGCGAATATCTTGTTCAACCTACGGTTTGCTTAAGATTTCGCAAGAGCTCGCGCGTAAGCTATTTCAGCAAACCCATGTTGCGAAACCATGTGTTTTTGTATGTTTTTGGGGAAACTCGATTGCGAAATCCTTCCGACACCGGAGGTTTTTCAAGGATTTCGGCATGCGCGCGCGACGACGCGCGCGTGTGCACTTCGTCCCATTTTTTGCAAGGGATTCGTGACGAAGTGCTATGTTAGAACAAAAGATGTCCCCGCGTATCGTTTTTTTTTTACAAGGGAACCTCAGGGGGGCCGGTCCCGGCCCCTCTGGGACATTGTAAATTCACATTTAGGATGGACATGTGGTCAGAATCATATATGATTTACATATCCGAAAGGGGGGATCACTCCGGGGGGGGGTTAAGTCTATTCTGTTTTAAGAAAGGAGAATCCATGTGGTGCAATCTATGTGGCGCAACGCAATGCAACGTAATGCGAAATCATGTAACGCGATGCAAAGCAATGCAATGCAACGCAATGCAAATCAACGCGCGACATTAGAAACCAATGCACAGCACTGTTGCTCTGCAAAGCGATACAGAGCAATGCAGAACAGCACAAAGCAGTGCAGAGCAATGAACAGCAACGCAAAGCAATGCACAGCAATGCAAAGCCACGCAAAGCAATACAACGCAATGTAATGCAACGCAATGCAATGCAAAACAATGCAACACAATGCAAAGCGACGCACATCAACGCGATGCAATGCAAAGCAATGCAACGCAATGCAAAGTAACGCACAGCAGTGCCACAGAATGCAACGCGAAGCGGTGCGATTCAAATTCAATGCCATTGCAATACAGTGCCCAGACGACGGGCTGCAAAGGGCAGCGACGAGGCGACGACGGCGGCCACATGGCGGCCAGAGCGGTTCTCAGGACCAGGCGACGTGCGGCGACCAGGCGGCGAAGGCGGCCACATGGCGGCCAGAGCGGCCCGCAGGCCCAGTTCCTTAGAAAAGAAATGATAATCCCTACGTGCAAGCTCTGTTCGGGGAAAAAGGGGTATTTGTGTGCGCGCGCGCGTGTGTGTGTGTGTGTGTGTGTGTGTGTGTGTATGTTGCCTCTCGAGGCCCTCCTGGGGGGCCTCTCGGCGCATGATTGGGGTATCTTGGGGCCATCTTGGGGCGCCTCGGGGCCACGGGGCGCTTTCTCGGGGGCCTCCTGGGCCATCTTGGGCGGACCATGTCCACCCTGCCGCTGAGTCCGCAGCCGCACACGCACCGCGCTCGATTGTTCATGGAGGGCGACTGCCGGCTTGCAGCTCTTCGGCCTGCGGAGGAGGAGGAGGAGGAGAGGGAGGAGGAGGAGGAGGAGGAGGAGCAGGAGGATGAGGAGATTATGGTGATGATGATGATGAGAGGAGGAGGAAGAGAGGAGGAGGAGGAGGGGAGGAGGAGGAGGAGGAGGAGAAGAAGGAGAGGAGGGAGGAGGAGGAGGAGGAGGGGAGAGGAGGAGGAGGAGGGAGGAGGAGGAGGGGAGGAGGAAGGAGGAGGAGGAGAGGGGGAGGAGGAGGAGGAGCAGAAGGAGGAGGAGGAGGAGCAGGAGGAGGGGAAGGAGGAGGTCTTTCCTCCGCTTCTCCGCCGCCCGCCCTTGGCTCGCCCCGCGCCGACGCCGCGGCCGCCGCCCCGCCCCTCCAGCTGCCGCTCCAGCGCCTTTTTCTTCGTCCTTGCGACGACTCGGCGCGCGCGCTGGTGCCTGGACAAAAATCGAAGAACACAACCAAAACATGAACATAAACTTTTGGCGCTCCGCGCGGATTTCTTGGATCCGCGCCTGGGCCCCCCGGCGGCGCCTCCGGCGCCGCCCCTCGCCCCGCGCGCCAGGGAGGGGGTCCAGCGCGAATCCAAGAAATCCGCGCGGAGCGCCAACAGTTTATGTTAATGTGGTTTTTTATTCTTCTAAAAAGTGTCCACACCCATGGCGGTAAGGCGATACAGCATGATAACGACCACAATTGGGAAATGCCCTTGCTTCGCACCCCTCCACCCGGAACCGAAGTTGAAGCGTCCACATTTTGTCCCTGGCCTGCGGCCTACCGCCTACACCCGTCAACTTTGGATTTGGGGGAAGGGGGTTATACGTTCTAGTCCGACGTGCTTTGATAGCTCAAAGGACCTGGCGAGACACGGGTGGACACTTTTTAGCCCACCCACCGGCGCGATTCCCTGCGCGCGGGCTAGACTGCGTGGCGCTGTCCCCGCCCGCGAAGACCGCAGAGTGCGTGTGCGTGTGCTGCTTCTCGAGGCCCCGCGCTGGTGCGGATTGCCTCCGCCCTGCCGCCGACGGGGGAAAAGTGTTTTGCCCCCTCGAGGCCCTCCGTCGGGGGACCGCTGGGCGCACTCTCGAGGCGTCCCTTTGGGGCCCTCGTGGGGCGCTTTGAGGCCACGAAGGAGCCTTTTCGGAAGCCCTTGGGCCCTCTCGGGCGGAGGTGATGACGATCGGGGCCCTCTTGGAGACCCTCTTGGAGCCACCTGGGGTGCAAGCGCAGTTTGTCGACTCTCTCTTTGGTGCCACGGCGCGGCGCACGACCGTGCCAGATTGAGGGCCTACAGTCAAACCGCATAGCAAGGATGAGCGACTTTCCAAGGTTATCCTTGCATCCTTCACCTTCGGCCCATCCTTGGCCGCTGTCGCTGGCCGCGCCCCGCCCGCAAAGTGTCGACATGGCCTTCCAAGACCCTTGCATCCTTACCGCGCATCCTTACAATACGGGCCGACTGGGTCGCATTAAGTACATGATGTTCGGTGCCCCCTTCTGCCGTTCCTTTTCACCGTCTCCTCCCTCGTCTCCTTTCCCGCGCCGGTCTCGCGCCATGCGCCGAGAGTAAGAGTGCTGGCGCCATGGTGCTCTGAGCTATGCGACGGAAAGATCTAGTTATCCCACCACCGCGACTGGGTCGTGGGCCAGCTGCTCAAAGGCTCCTCGAGGGGGCTCCAAGGGAGCTCCTTAGGAGCATTGCTGGAGAGAGCGAGCGTGACCCGCTTGCCCTGCTCGGGGAGGACGGAGGCCGCTTCACAGAGGAGGTCACGTGAATACCTAGAAATGGCCCCGTGGATTGCCGTGAAAACAAACATCTTGCGTCTTAGAATTCGTTTTGCTTCGTGCCTCTGGCATGGTTTGATCCGAGCTGGTCGGCGTGACTGAGATGTTTCCGTGATCCGGAGTTTTCACTTCTTGAGTGGATATTTTACAGATGAACAGAAGTTCGCCGCTGGCGCCGATTATTTGTCCCCGCCAACTGTCTGTGCAGCCTAGCTGTGTGTGTGTGTGTGTGTGCAAAACAGACCGGGCACACCGTCGGGCCCTGATCGAACGAGCCCAAAGCTGGACACCTCCCAGTCGCCCCCTCTTGGGCGACCCACTGGTCCCCACGACGCCGTAGGCGCCCCTGCACATAGCCAGGCCCGACCAGGCAGCCCCCAGCCAGAAGCAGGAGAAGATGATTGCGAAGGCCTTACGGCCGGTGCCGCCGACCCTGGAGGGCGACCCATGCGTTGTCGGATGTGGCGGGGGGGGCCTCTTGGGGCTTCCTGGGGGCCTCTTGGGGGTCTCGTGGTGGCCTCTTGGGGGCATCTTGGGGCTTCCTGGGAGCCTCTGTCGCCGAGGGCTCGTCGGGCCCCCCGTCTGGGCACCCTGTTGGAGCCGTTTGCGGGGGGGGGCGTCGTATCTGAGTGGCGCCCCCCCCCCGGGACCCCCCCCCGGGACCCCCCCGCTACCCCCCCCCCCTCCCGGCGGGGGAGGGATCAAAGGGAAGGGGCTTCCCTTCGACTCAAATACGACGTTGCTGAAGTTCATTTGGGCTGGCGCGCTTGAGCAGGGGCCCCTGCTGGGAAAGAGGGCGGGAGTGGCGACGGGCCCACGGAAAGGGAGGCGCAAGGAAGGGGGACGACAGAGACGACGACCAACGAACAACGGGGATGACGTCTCGAACGGAAAAGCCCCTCACACACGCAGCCCCCAGCCAGAAGCAGGAGAAGATGATTAATACTGTGGACGCATTGGCAACTGTTCGTCCCGAGCCAAGCACGCGTGCGACTTTAAGTGGGCTCGCGTAATCGTAAGCCCATCGCTCTGAACGGCTTGAGGGGATTCGAGGATTGGGTCCCCTTGGCGGTTGCCTTTGGACGTCCCCCGCCTGGCTCTCATCTGAGGGTCCCTCCTCCCCCCGTCTTGCCTCTCCCCCTCTCTCCCATCTTTCCTCCTGGATTCTCACCTCTGCCCCCCCCTCTCCTTCGGTTGACTCTGTCCCTCTCTATCTTTCTCCACCGCCTGCATGTATGGTCACAGCACGAGTGATTTGTAGGAGTTATGGGAAGTGCGGGAGTGACAGCTATGGTCAATGGTAAGAACGCACGAGGGTTTGACGGTGACAGTGAGAATGGTTGAGAGTGGCATTGAGGGCGAGCGTGAGATCGGGTGTCGGTGTGGGAGTGGAAGTGGGTGTGACCATGTATCTCTCTCTCTCTCTTGCCCCACTGTCGCAGAGGTGCTCCGCTTGGCAGACAACGAGGTGCCTCTCTCTCTCTCTCTCTCCCTCTCTCTCTCTCTCCGTCTATCTTTATGTGTAAATTATCTCGCTGTCTCTCTCTCTCTCTTTCTGTCTCCCTCGCTCTCGCTCTCTCTATATCTCTATCTAGCTCTTTCTCTCTCTCTCTCTCTCTCTCTATATATATATATATTCCTCCTCCTATATTTGTATAAGCCCGGACGGGGGGGAAACCCATCCCCCCCCCCCAAAACCGGACTCCCAGGACCTGGGGCTTTGGGGCCCTCCGGACGGGCCTCGAAGCGGCCAACGGGCCTCGCAAGGCGTTTCGCCAAGCCTTCCCAGCACACTTAGGGCGATCAGGGGGGTCATCGGAGACGTCCCAGAGACCCCCAAGACAGCACAAGAGCGCTCCAAGAGTGACCGACGTGACCTCAAGATGGCTTAAGAGGCCTCCAGGACGGCCCCAAAGAGGCCTCCAAGAGCACTCCCAAGAAGGCCCCCCGAGGCAAAAATCATTGATTTTCCTAAGGTTTGTGGTGAATTTTGGTGTTTTCCTCTTTTCGGCTTCCCGACGCTCCAAGACGGCGGTCTTCTGGGCGTCCGAAGCCGCCTGGGGGGCTCCCAAATCGCCCCACAACCATCCGAAAGGGCTTCCAGGCAGTCCAAGAGAGCCCCAAAACGGCACAACACGGGTCCAAGATGGCCCTCAGAGAGCCCCATGGCGGCCCAAGATGGCCCAAAGACACCCTCCGAAGAATTCCAAATCGTGATTCGGTCGTTCAGGGAGACGGCGGCTGGAGGCAGGGTGGCCCGAGGAAGCCCCAGGAGGCCCCCAGAATGCGCCCAGGAGGCCTCCAGAAGGCCTTAAGAAAGCCCGAAACAACTTTTGTGAGGCCCCTAGAGGCTCTCCAAGGAGGAGCTTCCGCAAAAAAGAGCTGAGGAGGATGTGGAGAATGCGCAGGGTATGGCGAAAATAAGGAACATAAGCATGGAGGAAGGATAACGAATAACATCATTATAGCGGCGATGCCGGAAAAGGCAACCAGGAGTTATCGCTAAATTGTCGGCTTGATCTTCCTGCCATTCCGCCTGCAAACCAAAGTTCAAGGACCAAGGTGCATGGCGCGAAGCGCCACTGCAGTCTTGTATATATATATATATATATATATATATATATATATATATCGGCTCGCTTCGCTTCGCCTTGCGCCAGAGAGGTTCGCCGCGACCGCTAGTCGCAGCGCCGCGTTGCGCTTTGGCGCTGGCGTCTATGAAGCTCATGGGGCTGACTGGACTGACGGGGCTCAGTGCCCCGTAGGGCCCATCGGACTCTCAAGCGCAATGTGGGCTCAGGGACTCCTAGAGCGAATTCGGCCATGGGGACCACAGGGCTGGCGAAACGCGTTGGGGTCATCGGGCCCCTGGGGCTCGCTGGCCTCATTGGATTCTGGGCGTCATGACGCCGACGGGGTCGTGAGGTTCAGGCTCATTGGGCTCATGGGCCGAAGGGGGCTCGTATGGATTCACGGGCGCTGCGGTTATCACGGGTTCTTCGTAGGATATTCGTGGCTCGTCCGGGCCGGGATGGCCGTCAGGGCCGTGGGGCTTCATGAAGCACGAAGCTTGTAGGGCTCATACTCATGCGGTTCGTGGGGCAATGGGGCCAAGCAGGGCTCACTCATAAGACTCAGGGGTCTCACAGGGCAAGGAGCCCATGGGGCTCACGGGGCACATACAGGGTCATACGCTTCGTAGGGCCCACTGGGCCCACAGGGCTCAGATGAGCCATAAGGGCTCATGGGATAGATAGGGCCCATGGGACCTATAGGGCTCGCAGCGTCAGCGAGACTCATAGGGCTCGCAGGGCCCATGACGCCCATAGCGCTCATAGTACTCACAGGGCCTATTGAACCAGCGGGACTGACAGAACTCTCGGTGACCATGCTCAGGGGGCCAGCGGCCCCATGACGCCCATTATGTCCATAGGGCTCACGGGTTCATGGGGCCCAGAGGGCTCGGGCGGCCCATGATGCGCACAGGGCGGATAGTGCACATGAGCCCCAGGCGCCCTCAAAAAGGAGGAGGAAGGTCGGCGAGGACGAGGATGGAGAGTAGAAGAGAAGGGAGGAAAGCGGCGGCCTCCATGACGAACTTCTGTGGGTCGTTTGGGGTTTGGGGGGCCTTTCGGGGGGCCTCACCGAAGCATTGACGGGGCGTGGGGGCGGCTCACAGCGCCTGTAGGGCTCATTGAATCGTGGAGACCATGGGGCTCATGCGGCTCTTGAGGATCTTAGGGGGCACCAAGCTCATGACCCTCATGGGGCCCAGGAGAAGAGGAGGAGGAGGAGGAGGAGGAGGAGGAGGAGGAGGAGGAGGAGGAGGAGAGGAGGAAAGGAAAGGGAGAAGTGCAGTGAGGAGGAGGAGGAGGAGGAGGAGGAGGAGGAGGAGGAGGAGCAGTCCCCTGTGGTGCACGCCGCATAGCGGCAGCATCAGGCTCGAAGGCCTCATGCGGGTCATGGCGCTCATGCGAGCTCGGAGTAATAGGAGGAGAGGGTGGTGAGAAGTAGCGGGGAGAGGAATAAGCTGGCGTATGAAAGATGAGGGGGAAGGAAACAGTGAAAGAGGAGTGGAAGTGAAGCAAAACGGAGCAACGGGAAAGGGAACAAGATGAGGTGCAGTAGATAAGGAGGGGAGAGCAGGGAAGGATGGGGCCAAAAGTAGAGGAGGAGGAGAAAGAGGAGGAGGAGGAGGAGGAGGAGGAGGAGGAGGAAGAGGAGGAGGTGAACAGGAGTGGAAACAAGTAACATAACAGAGGGAAAAGAGCGAAGAGGATGGGGAGCGCGGGGTCATTGCCGTCGTGGAGGCATCTCGGCCGCCTTGGAGGGCACCTTGAGGCTATCCTGAGCGCCCAAGTCGAAGAGACACGCAGCCTGGCGCGATGGGCCGAAGCCGCAGTCGGGAGCCTTGGAACGTCAGCCAGAGCGCCCGATCTTGCAGCGTCCTTCAGGGCCAGGGTCGCATTGACCCGGGTTTGGGTGCAGGGTCTTGCAGGATCCTTCGCATTGACCCAGGTTTGGGTGCAGGATCTTGCAGGATTCTGCAAGGCGTGACTGACCTGGGTCTGGATTGACCCGGGTCAGAAGATCCCCGACCCAGGAGGAGCTCTGAAAGAACCCCAAAACCGTCGGAGATTTGGCATGCCGGGCACCCCTTGTAACAAGCCACCAGGGGGCGGCGGGTATCTAGTGGCCTTCGGTTCCTCCCGCCACCATGCCTCGGTCGTGGACCAGAGACCTCGGTGGCATTCGAGGGCTTCTTTGGAGACCTTAGGTGCCTTGGGAGTCTCGACAGGCCTCTCGGGGGCTTGCTGGCGCTGTCGGGGCCATCTTTGGGGGGAGGGCCCCCGGCGCGTCTGATTCGGGTTGCCCCCCATGGGCCTCTCTTGGGGCCCGCTTGAGGCCCTCTACAGGGCCTCCTGGGCCGGTTTTAGGGGCCTCTTGTGCCGTTTTGGGCGCTTTTACGGCCGCATTCCAAATAATCCAAACTTAGTTGTTTCAATCATTCGAGCTTCTTGGGCTGGCCCTGAGGGTTTCCGAGACGGCTCAGGAGGTCCTCAAGAGAGTCCTAGGACGGCCCCGTGGGGCCATTTTTGGGCATGTCGGAAGTGTGGATCCCTAGAACGCGAGAGGTCTCTGTAACCATTGTGCCACTTGACCCAGATTTCTTCTGATGGGCCTCTGAGATGTGCTCTGGCGACTCACCTTTGAGTTGAGGCTCTGAGGCGAGACTCGGGCGCGAACAGGAAACCATGTAGAAAGCAGCCGGTGCAAACAGGCGTGTGCACATCGGAAACAGATTTTCAACACAGCGACAGTTCTACTGTTTGTAGACATGGAGAGCCGCAGAACAAGAGACATTGTGTTTCGTCGGCGGCGAGGCAGAGGTTGATGCACCAGCGGTCGGGCTAAACGGGGCTGCCGAAGAGCGAACTGCCCGGCGTGCAAGAGGAGAGACTGGGACAGACAGGGCGGCCGCGGAGGCGGAGGGAGGAGAGGGAGGGGGGGGGGGGGGCACTCCGAGGCGGAAGGCTTCCATCCTGAGCGCGCTGGCGCGGCCAGCCTCGGCAGCGAGGACCGTGGCAGCGCCCGGGCCGCGGCTTCGGTGCATCCACGGGCGCCGACGGGGCCCAGAACGCGGGACGCAAGGGTGCGCGCAGAAGAGCCGACGTGGGCCGACGTTGGTACAGCAGGTAAGGGAGAGTACAGCGGAGCCGCCCGGGTGGGCCGACAAGGTACACAGAAAAGGAGGAGCACATAGAGACAGGGAGAGGGAGGGATGGGGAGAGAGAGAGAGAGAGAGTGATACGTAATATTCAGAGAGGGGGAGAGAAAGAGAGGGAGAGAGAGAGAGAGAGAGAAGCAGCAACAAAACAACTAACTAAATAAAGAAAGAAATCAATGAAGAAAGAAAGAGAGACAGAGAAAGAGAGAGAGAGAGAGAGTGAGAGAGAGAGAGAGTTAGAGAGAGATAGAGAGCGAGAGAGAGAGAGAGGGAGCGAAAGAGCAGACCACCCCCACGCTCTTCCTTTGAGTCCCCACGGGGCGTCGCGCCCGTCAGCAGCCCTCTGGTCGGCCGCCGGGGGTGCATCGCGGGGGCATGTTCGCAGGCGGGTTTCACCGAGGCCACGGGGGGCACGACTGCTCGGCCCAGTGAGGCGTCCAGGTCCACCCCGCGCGGTCGCCGCCAGTGTCCATGGTTCGCCCGCCGCCCGCTGGCATGCTACGACAAAGGCTGGGCGAGAGAGAGACAGAGAGAGAGAGAGAGAAAAAAGAGAGAGAGAGAGAGAGATAAAAGAGAGAGAGAGAGAGAGAAACAGAGAAAGAAAGAGAGAGTCTGGGCCTCCCAGATGGGGTCCGAGTAGATGGGGTCGGAGGATCGTGCCGCCCGCATCGCCGATGCGCCGCCGTTGCATCGCCGATGCGGCGCGATGTGGAGCCCGATTTTCTCCACGCCGACGTCGCCGATGCATCGCCGATGCATCGGCGACGCATCGCCGATGTATCCCCGATGCGGCGCGATCCTCCGACCCCATCCACTCGGACCCCATCTAGGAGACCTCTAGCGAGAGAGAGAGAGAGAGCGAGAAAGATGGAGAGACATAGACACAGAGATGGAGATTTTCAGACATCCCGCCTTAGCAAGAGTGTGCGCGTGTTGCCCCTAGTGTTCCTCTTTTGACATATCCACCAGCAAATAAGGCGCACCCAGACTTGTGACACAACGCCCGCCAAAAAGTCACGCGACGCACCCTAGGAGCCCGGAGTGCGCAGGATTGCCCAGCAGCGCCGCAAATCGGGGTTAGGGGCTTGGAAAGAACATGTCAATATTCCACAGTGAAGACTCGAAGGGGCTTGAGAACAGTGATTGGCAGCGTCTGGACATGCATTGCCAGGTGTACGCTCTGAAGAAGGTGAAGCTACCGTCTTTGTCTGACAAGGAGAAGCAGAACGCGCTCAACGAGGTGTCTGTATTATTTGCATGCGCTATTCGAGATATCGGGAGCGACTCGCCGTAAGTTGTCCTTGCTTGTTAGAGTTGTCAGCCCGAGCGCTGTTGCTATAACCCTCGTCAAACTTAACCTCGAAAATGTCTTACGTGGCTGAACTGTTTGTGGGGAGATACCGGACAGAGTAGCGGTGACTGCGAGGTACTTGTATGCGCCGCCCCTCCAACGTCGGTCATCATCGAACTTCGAGTCGTTCCTGGTCAGACCACTTTTGCCCTGGCCCCGACATTGGAGGGGCGTCTATCGACATTGAAGGGCGCGCCGACATCGCAGGGGCTTGGTCGCCATTTTTGAGGTTAATTTTGACGAGGGTAGTCGTATCCTGCTGCGCTTGTAGAGACCGTCTTCTTGTGGCATCCCATCATGCGGTATCCATTGTGTTTCGGTGTTCAGCATTTTTCCTTTGCCGGCCATCATCAGAACGATTACACGTCGCCACGCCATCTTACTCTGTGCTCGCGTGTTCATAGCTTACTGTCTTCAGCGTCGCTACAATTTGAATTCTATTGCGCAGCACATGAGAATGTCTAGCGGTCTTCACGTCTGGATCCTTGACACTTCGCGTGTCCTTATCAGCCCATCCTGAAACGATGCCCATGCAAGCTGCCTTGACCCTGGAACTGTAGCAGCAAGCAGTTGAACAAAGAGGGAGGGCAGCTGCCAAACCGAAGCTCGGGATCAGCCTGAGCAGACCCAGAGAGCATCCAGCCGCTATGTGCCAGGCTCCCCTGAGCCGGGGGTAATTTAGTACATTCCGTTTTGATCGACGTCGTACAAGATGGCTCCAGTGTGGCCCCAAAGGCTCCCAAGAGTCGGCCGAAAAACAGACGACACCGCCCCACCCACGGCCCTCCATGTTGCGCTACGGCCCATCGGGGGCCGCAGCGTATGCCATGCAAAAACCCACGCCAGACGTCCTGGTATGCGCTACGGCCCGTGGGGCCGTAGGTCGGGTGGTGTCATTCGCTTTCTGCTCTCAAGAGGGCCACACGAGGAACTTCGCGAATCGCTCGACGCGGGAGCCTGTCGGAGAAACTGGACTGAGCACAATTTTGGAGCCTCTCTTCGAGGCAAGCTCTGGAGCCCTCGTGTGGCCCTCTTAGGAGCCATCTCTAAAAGTCGGGCCTGTCCCTCTACAGGGGGAATATTCAAAAATAGTCAAAAAATAGTCTGGGGACGATGTTTATGTTTGGACTACTTTGGACTATTTTTGAGTATTTCTTCCATACTTTTAACCTTTCCTCCAAAATCCGCCTGTAGGGGGACATGCCCGACCTAAAGCCATCTTGTACGACGTCGATCAGAACGGAATGTCCCAAATTAGCCCCGGCCCAGAGGAACCCGACACGTAGCCGCTGGATGCTCTCTGGGCACGCTCCTGGGCGCTCTTGGGGGATGCACTGGGGCCCGTCTGGGCGCTTCTTTGGGCTCTCTTGGGCGATCTTGGAGACATTTTTAGGTCCCAGAAGCACGTCGGAGGCGAAAGTGCAAGGCGGGGAAACAAGCGGGAATAGCCGTATGCATGTTGTTCAAGTATGTTGAACTCTTCGGAGGTATCGTTGAGTGGCTCCGTGCTCACTTGGAACTGTCTTGGGGCGGGCTTAAGGCCTCTTGAGCGCATGCTGGAAGCTACCCTGAACCATCTGAGGCTATATTGTGCCATTATGGAGAGCAGACTGGGCTATACCGGGCCCTCGTGGGGCCACGTTGGACGGTCTAACCCCTCGCGGCCCGCCCGACCAGAACCAAGGGAAGGGGTAGGGGGATGGGTCAAAATCCGAACGGGAACTCCACAAGCTGCCTCGCTCACTCCCACCCGCCCTCCCGCCATTTAAGTAGCACCCGAGACTCAGCATAGGCAGAGGTCACCATCGGATGTACAGCTGTCGGGAACCAATTCAGGCGCCAGGTGCGCGACGCTTGCGAGGTGCGCCACTTGTGACAGGTGCGCCAGGTGACCCAGGAGCCAAAAAATGCCGGATACGCCTGGTGCGCCACGCGCGCACAATGGTGAGATAGTGACAGTAACCACCCTAATTTTGTGGCTGCTTCTAGTCCAAGAAGCCAGCGTGTCGGCCTACCACGATGGCCACGCCGAGGCGGCAAGCTGCCACCTGCATCGTAGCTCTTCGGGCAGCGGTCCTGCCCGCCTGGTATGTGATCCAACCCGACTTGGTAGTCACCCGTGGCTGGGTGCGCCAGGAAGCCTAAGATCGCGCGCGATCTGCACCGACTCCTGCTGAAAAAGCGGGCAGTCTTGGAAGTAGTGTTTGGGGCTGGCCAGTAGTGCCTGGCAGGCAGCGCTGCATGGCCACGTCGCGTGGGTGTCTCTGCAGCGCCGCCTCGGAAAATCTCGAGGTGCCTCCTTGCGGTGGCATCGAGGCCCCACTTCCACTCGGTCCAGATCGCGTGGCTGGAGGCGTCCACGTCGACCTCGCGGACCCCCATCGGAGTCCCAGGCGGCTTGTGTGGACCATCTCGAGCTCGAAGCAGCACACCCTTGCAATCGCACGAGCCACGTGGGCTGCGGAGGGCGAGGCTGTCCAGAAAGAGAAGTCCAGCCTTCGGACGGCACGCGTGACATCGAGGATCTGCTGCGAGTCGTTGCGGCCCCACGCTGGCTCAAAGCCGCCGATGGTCAGTCCCAAGAACTTGAGGTGCGCCGCGGGCGCGTGTCTGACGAAGAAGGGTTCCAGGCCAGAAGGGGGCTGGCCAGAGCCTCGACTGCCTGGATGGCTGGTGCGAACAGCGGGTGGAGCTGGACCCTCTGCGCCCACCACCTCCCCCTCCTCCTCCCCCTCCTCCTCCTCCTCCTCCTCCTTCTCCTCCTCCTCCTCCTCCTCCTCCTCCTCCTCCCCCTCCGAAGAAGAAGAAGAAGGAGAAGAAGAAGAAGAAGAAGAGCCGCGCGACAGAACATCGCCGGCGTGGTCGTCGGGGCTGGCGCCACCAGGGGGGCAGCCCAGAGCCAGAGAGAGGCCGCACGCAGGCAGCCCCCAGTGCCTCCCGCACTGCCGTGGCCCCCAGAATGGGAGCGAGAAGGGCGAGCGCGTTGAGCGGCTTTGTCCCTCCAACCGCCCCGTGCTCCAACCGCGCCAGCCGCGCCAGGTGCGCGATGCGCGCAGAGTGCGCCAGGCGGCGACTGGTGTCCTAGTGAACGTGACAACACACATCGGGCAATACGTCGACACAACCATCATCCTGTCAAAAGCTAGTGCAAAGTGGCGGCGGAGTGGTCAGTATTGTGTCTGGTGTGTGCACCCGCTATGAACTGGCAGTGGCTTTCGATGCGGATAGGGGGGGAGCGCACAGCGGAAAATATGTGGATTCCCCAACCATCCTTGCCGAAAGCTCATGCAAAGTAAATAATGCGTGCCTGTCATGATTTAGATGTTGCTGCCACTTTCACTTTGCAATGTGTTCTGGCAGGGACGGTGGGGGGGGCCGCATTATTCTTGGTTGACGGCTGGTCGGGTGGGGGAGGGGTTGTTTATTATCACGGGCAGTGATAAGCCCCTCCATGAAGGGGCAGAAGGAGGTTGAAGTAGTTACCGGTTTAAACTACCTGCGCACAGAGGGCTGGTGGGACTCGAAGATGATGTGAGGTGTATATATATATATATATGTATGTGTATATATATATATATGATCAGCCCTCTCAGCATGAGCTTTTGCCCATGACGGGCTTGGAGCTAATGATATCAATAATTATGTTGGACGATATCTGCCCAGCAGCTATGATGCAGCGCCAGGTTCGGCTACTCGCGTCCGTTCAGCACGACAACGTAGTCGCCTACAAGGAGGCCGCCGCTTCATTACCGGCGCGGGTCACACCTGTGCGGCTGTCTGGGCTAGTGGCAGAAAGTCACGCTCGGTCTCTCCCGCCCCTTTTGCCCTCCCCCCTCTCCCCGCGCTTTCTTTTCCCTCCCCCTGTCTCCCCCCTGGTCCCTGTCACCTCCATCCTGGCTTTGATGGTATATCAGTGTCGACATTGTTGTGGCGCGTCTGGCGATGTATCCAGGGGGCCCTCTTCCTCCAAGCCATGCGTCTGGGCCACGGCCGCGCGCAACAGGTGCTCCTCCCTGCTTCACTGTCCGCTCCTGGAGCCAGCTCGTACTTCACAGTGGCAGTGCCCAGGGAATCATGAGCGTGGCCGAAGGGTTTTGGAGAGAGGTCGAGCCGAGCCTATGCAGGCGGGGCGGCCCCTCGTGGCCCAGAAAGCCGACAGCGTGCCGAGCGAGCCGTGCGTGACTCTTTCGGCGATCCGGGGATCGACCGGTGGCGCGTTGGGCGAGGTCCCGTCGGGCACGCGGAGAGCGTACGGTCAAGTCGGGCACGTCCCTCTACAGGAGGAATAGTCAAACATAGACCAAAAATAGTCGGGGAACAATGTCTTGACTATCTTTGGGCATTTTGGGGGGTATTTTTTTGCCCATGTAAAGTTTTTCCTCCGACATCCGCCTGTATGGGGGATGGGCCCGACCCAAGCGTACGGGGCTGGCCCAGGCCCTGCCACGCACAAGCTCTAGGGAAGCGGCGGCTCGCGGCAGCGGCTTCGGCAGCGGCGCGTCCAGCGGTGCCCGAGAGGAGCCTGTCGCGAGGGAGCGCGGCCCTGGGGGCGCGGGCCCGTGGCGTTCTGCGAAGGGTCGTGGCCGTGGGAGCGCGGAGCCCCGGTGTTGCAGGTGGGGCCGTGGCCCCGTGGGGAGCGCGGGCCCGTGCACTCTTCACGAGGGATCGTCGCCGTGGGGCTGCGGACCCGCTGCGCTGCCACGCGGCCCCGGGCGTGCGTTCGGATGGCAGGAGTCGGGTGTGCTGAAGCGCTCCCGGGAGTGCGGTGGGGACGACCTGATGTTGCACACAGTCGGGGTATGCTGCGGCGATCTCATCTTTAGGGGACGGAAGGTTTGAGATTGCACGGCTTGGTTCCCCCACTGGGCATTCTCTTGGATCGGCGTGAGGGAGGCGAGCGGTCTTACATTGTCCTTGGGTGCGCGGCTGAAGCGGGGACCCACGGTGCGAATGTTTGTTAGTGTTGTGTTGTGGTGTTGTGTTGTGTTGTGGTGTTGTCGTCTTCACCCGCGACACGCCCGCTCCGAGGCGGGAATGTTCTACATGGCCACCGCCTGGAGGGTCCGTTTTCGGAGCCTCGGCAGGCGGTGGACATGGACCTACACGGGCCCCCAAGGGCCGAAATATATCCATATCTCAGGCGATCGCAAACATGGATCGAGGGAGCGTGGATTAGCGACGGGTCCCGTTTCCATGGGAAATCGCGGATTTCCGCCGCCGAACCAGACGGCACCGGCCGCATTTTGGGGAGGGCACCACCCCCGATCCATGGATTTGGCGACCGCGCGCCAAATCCATGGATCGCTGATCCATGTTTGCGCGCCCCCCAATATCCACTGCCCGCTGGGGCACCAGGACGTCGGTTCCCAGGCGGTGGATGTGGACAAATCCCCGCCTCGCATCCGCGACCCACCCGCGACCGACCCGCTGCCCGCCCACCTTGCTTTGACGAGAAATCGACGCTTGCGGCGGGCGCGTTGCGTAATGTGCAGAAAACTGGCGCCTGCGGCGGACTTCGTGTAATTTGTGCTCGAGCCCTGTAGACTGCCGACGACCCCTCCCCGCCCCCTCACTCTTACACGAATTTCGCTGCTGCGTTCGCCCCCTATACTGCGTTTTCGCTGCCAGGCAGCTTCCAGTCACGCGGATGTCAAAATATGAGCGCACGATGCGTTGCTTTTTCTTTTCTGGCGTGAAACGCGCAGCGCCTTCGCCAAAGAAAAGGAGCTCAACATGAAACTTTCGCCTCCAGGGCATGTTGGCGCGGCGCCTTCGCCGAACATCAGCTCGCGTCAAAGAACAACCTGACAGTGTCCGCAAACTGCGGGGGCTGTGGCGCACGTTCGCTCCTGGCGCCCCGAGGCGCCCTGCAGAGAAAGCAGCTGACGTGGAACTTACTCGCTGCCCCCACCTTCTGGCGACAGGTCTCGGAAGAAATCGGCGAGCATTCCTGCCACCGTCATCTGTCAAGCTTGGGGGAGGGGGGAGTGTCCACCGGTTGTTTCCCTCTCCCATATCCCCCCCCTCTCATGCACCCCTTCGGGAGCAAAAGAGCCGCGCACGGGGCCCAACCGGGGTCGCGCGAGCGAAGGACGATGGAGGAGCCGAAGGAAACGCTCATGAGCCATTGCTCCTGTTCTGAAGTCCTGAGGCTTGAGTCTGCCATCGCTGCAGCACCAGGGGGGCAACCAGCTCTGACGTAGGGGTATCTCCATTGTTGCTCGGAAGGCATCACTGGCGCTGACTGGCGGCCCCGCCAGCAGATTGGCGGAGGAACTCGCGGCTTCCGCCTCATAGCATTAAATCGGGCTTGCCCTTCTACAGGAGGAATATTCAGAAATTGTCAAAAAATAGTCAGTTTGTTTTTTTGTTTTTTGGGGACATGTTTGGAATCTGTTTTGCCATTTTTGAAATTTTCGCCCAAGCTCCCCCTGTAGGGCGACAGGCCCGACTTAATCATAGCATCAGAGTCGTGGCCGAGAGCCGTCTCGCGGGCACGGCTGGCGCCGCTGCCGCGCTGCCGCAGCGGTGGTGCCAGGCTTTCTTCGACGACCGGACGAGGTGCTTGTGTATCGTGCAGGAGCAGGGGTCGGACGGGGCTGGAGGGAGGATCCAGGACGTTCTGGAGCGCTCTCAGAGTGTTTCGGAACGCCATATGAGAAGGCCGGGCGCCCGAGACATCCTCCAGAGCCGCGGGATCTCAGAGATTCCCACTTTGTCCCCACCCGATTTATCCTTTATCCTGGCTTCGCCTCAAAGTGGGAACTTCGGCTCGCGGCTGGCAACTGGAGCGTCAATCGAAGAACGGGTCCGAAGGGGTGTTGCTCTCGGGGAGGCGGGAGGAGGAGGAGGAGGAGGAGGAGGAGGAGCGGGGGGGAGGAGGAGGAGGAGGAGGAGAGGAGGGGAGGAGGAGGAGAGCCCAGCGGCCTGCCAAGACTCTTCAAGAGGGGAAGAACTGCCCAGGAGGGCCGCGCGGACTTGTCGGATCAGCGCGCAGTCCTCCTCCGCACAGTGTCTCGCTCCTCCGCCTGTTTTTCCTCGTCCTCCTCCTCCTCCTCCTCCTCCTTTTCCTCCTCCTCCTCCTCCTCCTCCTCCTCCTCAGTATTTCGCTGTTCATCGCCCTCCTCCTCCTCCTCCTCCTCCTCCTCCTCCTCCTCCGACTCCTCCGACTCCTTCTCGCCCCCCGTCCATCCTCCCGAGGGAAATCGAGAGCAAGGGGGGGGGGGGGGCACCCCTCTTCCCCCACACCAGGCGGCGCCTCTGGCGCGCTCTGCGTGCCAGGCAGGGAGTGCGGGGAGGGCGGTGCAGCGCCAACCTAGGAAGTCTGCGGCGACCTCCGAGAGCGGAAATTCACTCCCGAACAAGTGTCCGATAGTTCAGTGGAGGCAGGGCTGGAGCGACAAGAGACGCAAGGCAACAAAGTGGAGACAAGACAGCACTCCAGCAGAAGACTTCGCAGCCTCGCCCCCCAAACAGCTGGCGGATAACTGGCGACTGGGTCCTAGGGCCCAGGGGCGGCCTACTTTTTCAAAATTATCCTCCCCCTTCGGCACCGAGGGTCCAGAAACAGCGTTCGGGGCTTTGGCAGGTTGTGTCGATGGCCCGAGACGCCTCACGCTGTCTCCAGGACGGCCTGAGGAGACCAGGAGACTAAGAGATGCCCCAAGAGAGGTTCCCAGAGGCCCCAAGGGAGGCCCCAGACACTGAGCATCGGGCAACAACATAAATATGTGTTACGGGTGTCTTATTCTCTGGCTTTTCTCTGTCAGATAGCTCAGGGAGCGCTTCAGAGAGCCCCAAGACGATCCCACTATGCTCGATGAAAATTCCAATTCGTACCCAGAACGCTCCAGTAGGACCATGTAGGACCCAAGACGGCCCAAGAGAGCCTGCAGAAGGGGCCAAGAGAACATCAAGACGTTCCACGTGGTCCAAGAGAGCCCCAAGGAGCCGCAAAGTGCGCCAATTCGGACACAGCGGTCCCCGCCCCTCGAAGCCCATCAAGGCCTCCAGAAGGCTTCAAGAGCTCCACGAGAGCCCCCAAGACGCCCCCAGCGAGCCCCACGACAACCCTCAGACACTTCAGGAAGAGCCCAAAGAGAGCCACGCACTCCAAACCGGCCCACGTCACGCTCGGTAGACATCTGCTCACATTGGCCCTGGACAGCTCGAGTTCCCCGAGCACCTCCCTCCTGCGCCCGACTGCAGCCTCCACGAGCCCGCGGGGTGCCACGGGGTGGTTTGTGGGGTATGTCTTGGAATTCCGCACTCCTTCGCTCCAGGTGCAGCCAGACCGAGGTACACGATCGAGGTCGGTTCGGGGAGGGTGCCCTGCAGACAGTCAGGCAAGTGGGCACGATCTGAGCAGCAGGCCCGAGGTCTCAAGTCGCACGTAGGTGCCAGACTGTCGGTCCAGCCGGGCCAGGGGCCGTCGGCCCAGGTAGCCTCGGGGAACGGGGTTTGGCGGCAGGTCGCAGGCGATGGGCGCAGCGTCGGGCGCTCGAAAACGAGTGCAGGGGCCCCCGCAGACGTTGACGAGGCCCCCGTTCGGGAGTGTCAACGTCGCCTCGGGCGTCGGATCCGCTACGGATCCTATGCGGATCCGATGCTTTTGGGACGGATCCTATGCGAAATGCGATGGGTTTGGGACGGATCCGAGTGTTGGGAAAATGGCGTGTTTGGCACGGATCCTGTCGGACCAATGTACCCTTGCGTAATGCGAGTTAAGGGCAGCAGAAGACTCCGAAGACGACTTACGCAGGGGCACGGAGCAGCAGGCGCGACGGTGGGGGGAAGGCGCCTTCTAGAATTATACTCAGGCGCTCCGTGTAGAACTTCACTTAGGTGGTACCCCAGGCGGCTCCGTCTAGAACTTTTCTGAGCCGCTCCTATGGGTTTCGACGTCTTGGCCGTCGCGCGTTCCGATCAGTGGACCTCGCCGTCGCCAGTGTCGTCGTCGTCGGCGCCTTCTTGAGGTTCGGACCCCGGCCATGCGTTGATTCAATCACGCTTCCAGTCCAGGCAAATCGTACCAAGTTTGTCTGATGTTCTGTAATGTTCTTCGTGTGTGTTGGATGTTCTTGTGCTCTTGGGGGAGGGTACCCTCGAATGATCTTAAGATTTGGGGTGTTTGTACTGGCGGAGGGTCTCACGTTCTGGAAGGATGTTCTTCTGTTCTGGGGCCGACTGTAGCTGCAAGAGCACATTGGAAGAGCCTTGGACTTACCAAACGGCCCGGGCCCCTTTTGCGATTATCCGGGGGGCTCCTTGGAGGAGAATAGGACCCCAACGCTTGCAAAGCGCGCGCTCAGGTTCTACATCCCTCCCGAAATCAAACGCAAATTTTCCCACGACATGGCGACGCCCCCGGACCCCACTTTTAATGTTGACGCCGGCACTGGCGATTGCAATGTGTTAGTTCACCCCGAAGGCCGCTCGCTCTCCGCGCGTCCATCAACACTGAGATTCGAGGGCGAAGGGGTCGGAACAAAGCTTGCGTTCGACTTCGAGGAGGCTTGTGTTCACTCCTGGGTCCCGAACGCTGCGCTTCGAACTCCATAACCCAAACCCTCGCCCAAGCACGAACCCTCTCCCAATATTGCCATCAGGCGCGCAAGCCAAAGGTTGCCACCGGGCGCGCAAGCCAAAGGGCCATGAGCTGGCCCTTGGTGCGCGCCTGCGCGCGCTGCCAACATTGAAAAGCGAGTCTCACTTAATGATTCTCTTTGGGCGTTGCCGTCCGTAGACCATTCACGGTGATCGTGTTGTCGATTATGTTATATTTTTTGTCCCGGCAGCGTGCGCTTCGAACTCCATAACCCAGGCACTCGCCACGAGCACGAACCTTCTCCCATCATTGCCCCTCCTTCCGCCGCGGCCGCGGCGGTTTCGAGGCCGCGCGATCCCAACTTCTGGGCCCCGAACACTACGCTTCGAACTCAATGACCCAGCCCCTCGCCCGAGCACGAACCCTCTCCCACGATGGCCCCTTCGCCACGGCCGCGGCGGAGTCGCGGCCGCGCGATCCCAACTTCCCGGGCGCCCCTCCCCCCCCGCGGCAAGGCGCGCGCTCTTTTCCGAGCACGGGGGGTGCCGAGGGCTCCCCCGCCCGGTCTGCCCGCGCGCGCCGGAGGCCTCGCGCCGAGGGAGCTCGGGCAGCGGGCCCTCGTGGGGACGAAGAGGGTGGGGGTTGTGATGTGAGGCCGGGCCTGTCCCCCTGCAGGAGGAAGATTCGAAGATAGTAGAAAAATGGTCTGGGGACGACTTTTCGAGCATTTTGGAACATGTTCTGAATATATTGTCTACAATGTCTTATTTTTTCGTCCAAAATCCGCCTGTACGATGTCCCAGCCTGCTTCAGCCGTGACCGCCGGGAAGAATCTCGAGCACCAGGGAAGTGCCGAGACCAGAGGGTTCTCACGCGTCGGGGCCCGGGAGGCGATGCTCGTTCGACGTTTCGCCAGCATGACTTCTCACGGTGCTCGAAAGTGTGTCTGGGACGTGGCCCTCGAGTACGATGGGAAGGACATGCGGCGGGGAGCGATTGGGGCAAGAGTCGAAGAGGTTCGTGTCTCGAGACCGTGCCACGTGCCGTGTTTGTGCGTGTCCTGGGGCGTACCCGTCGCCAATGCTGGACTCCCGTCGAAAATTTGGCGCAAAAAAGCACCCTTGAAGAGGCCCGCGGGTCGGGTTCTGAGGGAGGGAGGGAGGGGAGAGAGGGAGGAGGAGGGAGGAGGGAGAAAGGAAAAGGCAGGGAGGGAGGGAGGGTGGGAGGGAGGAGCGGGTGTTGGGAGGCATGAGCAGGGAGGGGGTGGCGAAGGAGGGAGGGAAGGGGGGCAGGGAGGAGGGAGTTAAGATGAGAGAGTTGGGAGGAGGGAGCAGGAGGGAGGGAGGCAGGGAGGGACGGAGGGAGGGAGGAGGGAGAGAGCAGGGAGGGAGGAGGGGGGAGGAGGGAATTGAGAGAACGAAGTTAGGAGGAGGGAGCAGGGTGGAGGAGGAGGAGGAGAGGAGGATGAGGAGGAGAAGGAGGAGGCGGAGGAGGAGACGAGGAGGAGGAGGAGAAGGGAGGAGGATGAGGAGGAGGAGGAGGAGGCGGAGGTGCTCCATTAGTTTGATAATCCCCATCCAGCGGCAATTGCCGCTGGGGGGGATGGCTTGCGCCCGCTGGAGGACTTTGTCGACACCAGCCCGAGGAGGAGAAGGAGGAGAAGGAGGAGGAGGAGGAGGAGGAGGAGGAGGAGGAGGAGGGGAGGAGGAGGAGGAGGAGGAGGAGGAGGAGCACGACGACGATGACGACGCCGACAACGACGACGACGACGACGGCGGCGACGACGACGACGACGACGACGACGACGACGACGACGACGACGACGACTGTGACGACGACGACGACGACCACAACGACGATACGATGACGGCGATTCCTCTGACAGGGCACAGCGAGCGCGGCGAAGTTGCCCGCCTCTCCGAGGCTGGACGCGGCGCCCGCCCGAGACTTCGCATCAGGCTAGGGGCGGCCCTCCTGGGGGGGGCTCGCCGCGGGACGGCTTGCCGGAGGGCTTGACGACCCCGCTTGGGGCGGCGTCGGCGACCACGGCGACGGCGACAGGGATAGCCCCATGAAGAAAAGGAGGCGCCCTCCATCCGCGCAGGTGCTGCAATGTGGCTGCCACGAAGGCAGGCTTGGGGGTTTCATCCTTGACGTTGCCCCTGGCAGCGTGGGTCTCACGCTGACTCGTAGCTGCCACCCAGTCCGTGCCGACACTTATTGGGTGCCCGCGACCAGTGAACAGGCAGAGGCGCTTGCATCGCATGGGCCAGGAGGCCCGCGCGAGCATCCACTTCCCAGTGCACCCTGCGCGAGGGTCGCTGGACTGGGCCATGTTCGCCGTGCAACCGGAAAGTTTGAGAGGATGAAGAGGTGATGATGATGCTGCTGCTGATGATGATGATGATGAGGAGGAGGAGGAGGTTCTGATGATGATGATGATGATGATGATGAGGAGGAGGAGGAGGAGGAGGAGGAGGAGGATGATACGTTCCAAGTAGTCCAAGGCCTCCTTGATTTCCTTTCCTGTACATCCAAACGTTCCACACGGCTGCAGAAACGAGGACCAGGAAATCTTGGAACGCATCCCGACCCAATCACATTATGACATCATTCTAGTCCTATCTTCGGCCACGTCCCCCCGCACATTGCCAGCACCACCAGCGAAATTAGTTCGAGACGCTGGGCCATCTCCTCCGGCGTCGCGTTTGTTTTGCAACATCGGTCCAGAGCTCGCGACTTGTCATAATGATCCCTGCGTTTCAAGCTTAGGGGCTTGTTCGCAGGAGATGCGCTCCGCCCCTAGACGACTGCGGCCACGTAATGCGAAGTGTAAAGCGATGCTTGACATGGTTATGCAAATGCAAGCGAGGACAAAAGCGGACAAGTAGTGCCTCCCCAATCTCTCTCTCTCTCTGGAGGAATGTGAGCCCGATTACGGCTTTCTCACCACTCCCGCCACTCCTTTAGGCACCGTCATAAGTCACAATCTGCATTGCCCAAACTGCGCGGTAAAGTTCCCCAGGGCGGATTTTCACCTGGATTGTCTTTTTGCTTCTAGGCCTCCTAGATGGGGGCGGAGTAGATGGGGTCGAAGGATCGCGCCACATCGCCGATGCATCAGAGATGCGATTCGATGTGGGGCCCAATTTTCTCCACGCCGACGTCGCCGATGCATCGCTGACATCGCCGATGCATCGCCGATGCGGCGCGGTCCTCCGACCCCATCTGCTCGGAGCCCATCTGGGAGGCCTCATGAGGCCTCTACCGATGGTCCCTGGCCAGGGGGTGGCCCGTCAGGGGCCGACGTAAAAGCGGACGCCACGATCTTTCCGCGTCGCCCACACCTGGAGGCTCGCATCTGCGGGGGAGGGGGGGGGGGGCATTGTTCGCCGCGGTCGTCGCCGCTGCCGCCCAAACCCGCCCCCCAAGTCCGCTGCAGTTCTCCAGTCGGCCTGCGGGGGTCCAGCCCAAAGAGGCGAGGTGAGCCTTCGCAGATCAGTGGAAATCCAGACATGTCCACGGGAATACAGAGAGGTCCAGGAGGTAATCTGGAGAGATCTTGCAAGCTCCAGCGCGAGTCGAAGGCAGCAAGAGTCGTTGAACCTTCTGCGAGAAAGCAAGACTGCCCGAGCAAGACGGCAGGAGCTCGCCAACAGCGGGGACCTCTTGCAGCAGGTCAACAAGTGCAAGAAGGCCGGGTGTGGCGGTCGGCGAGGCAGACGCAGATGGGGGCAGCGAGTGGCAGCGCCATCAGCGGCACGTGTTTCTCCTCCCCCTCCTCCTCCCCCTCCCCCTACCCCTCCTCCTCTTCCTCTTCCTCTTCTTCCTCCTTCTCCTTTTCCTCCTCCTCCTCCTCCTCCTCCTCCTCCTCCTCCTCCAGTTCCGCTTCGCGAATACGCCGCTTGCGCAGCTGATTTGGCCTGCCAGACGCTCGATTTTGAATTCCTTACGAAATTTGAGGTTGTTGAAGGATGTCGGCATGCGCGCGCGACGACGCGCGCGTGAACATTTCGTCACATGTTTTGCAAGGGTTGTTTGAACATGGAATGTTGATCAACGACTGCGCGTGCACAGCAATTTTTGCAGAGGATGGAGAGGAATCGAACCCGGTTTAGCTGACATGATATGAATTCGCATTGTGAATGGACCATGGGCCATAATCTTATGCAAATTGCACATCCCCTGGGGGAGGATAATCCCGGCCTCGGGGTGGTGGAACACATATGTTTCCCCAGAAAGGAGAGTCTATGTGGAGCAACTTGAATGGCGGCGACAGGGCGGCGACGGCGAGCACGGAGCCGCAGAGCCCCCAGAGTGCAAACATTTCTTGTTTGGGTATGTGTATATATGTATGTATGTATACATCAATGAATGTATGCATGTACACATATATAGATGTGTATGTATGTATGTATGCATACATGTATGTATATATGCATGCATGTATGTATGTATGTATGTATGTATGTATGTATGTCGGAGGTGAGGGGGTGAGATCGAAGTGGAACGGAGAGCCCCCCTACCGGGAAATCGATTTCGGTTTCGTGTTCGTGCGTGCCGTGCGTGCGGGCGAGGCGAAGCTGCGTGGGCGGGCGAGAAGAAAGTCTCCTGTGGCTGAGGCGCGGCCGGACCAAATGTCTCCTTCCGGGCGGCCGGTGGCCCGCGGTGTCCCGCCGGTGTCCCGTTGGTGTCCCGTGTGGCTGAGGCGCGGCCGGACCAAATGTCTCCCTTCCGGGCGGCCGGTGGCCCGCGGTGTCCCGCCGGTGTCCCGCGGTGTCCCGCGGTGTCCCGCGGTGCCCCGCGGTGTCCCGCCGGTGTCCCGCGGTGTCCCGCGATGGATGATGATGATGATGATGATGATGATGATGATGATGATGATGATGATGATGATGATGATGATTGATGATGATGATGATGGTGATGGTGATGGTGATGGTGATGGTGATGGTGATGTGATGCTGATTGCTGATGCTGATGCTGATGCTGATGATGCTGCTGCTGATGATGCTGATGCTGATATTGATGCTGATGATGATGATGGTGATGCTGATGATGATGCTGATGATGATGAGGACGATGATGATGATGATGCTGCTGATGATGATGATGATGATGGTGATGCTGCTGATGATGATGATGATGATGATGATGATGATGATCGAGTGAGATCGAGTGTGAGATAGATCGAGTGAGATCGAGTGAGATCGATTGTGAGATCGATCGAGGGAGATCGATTGAGCGAGACCGATACTGAGATCGATAGTGAGATCGATAGTGAGACCGATCGAGTGAGACGTTTGTTCCTCCCCCCCCCGAACCTCCTTATCACCCGAAGGGCGGTCATATAGGTATGTATGTATGTATGTATGTATGTATGTATGTATGTATGTATGTATGTATGTATGTATGTATGTATGTATGTATGTGTATGTGTGTATGTGTGTATGTGTGTATGTGTGTATGTTTGTATGTATGTATGTATGTATGTATGAATGAATGAATGAATGAATGAATGAATGAATGAATTTTTATATATGTATCTATACATATATTCCCATTCATATATTTCTGTTACCCGGGACCTCCCCCCGACTTCGGACCCTTCGAATCGCGAGCCCCCGGGACCCTCTGGATCCCCCGGATCCTGGCCCCGGGGACTCCCTGGACGCCCCTGCAGGAGGCCCCCCCAGGCGTTTCAGCGCTCCTAGAAGCCGTTGCTGGGCCTAGGCAACGGGCCCAAATCGGTCAGGAGGGCGGCCGAACGCTCCCCGAGGGCCCCAAGAGGCCCCAGACACCCACCAGACGCCCGAAGACGACCCAAAGAAGACCGCCCAAAGACTTCCCAAACGCAGAAAATATAGATGTTCGAAGGTTTTTGCATGATTTTGGGAGTGCCCTGTCTTCGGTCTTCTGGGCGTCCGAGACTGCTTGGGAGGCTCGAAAATCACCCCACACCCATCCGAAAGGGCTTCCAGGTAGTCCAAGAGAGCCCCAAGACGGTACAACAGGGTTCCCAGATGGCCTAAGAGAGCCCCATGATGGCCCAAGATAGCCCCAAGACACCCTCCGAAGCATTCCAAATCGTGACCCAGTCGTTCAGGGAGACCCAGGGTGGCCCGAGGAATCCCCCAGGGGCCCCCAGAGGACGCCCAGGAGGCCTCCAGAAGAAGAAAGCTTGAGGAACCTCCGTGAGGCCCCAGAGGCTCTCCAAGGAGCAGCCTCCACAAAAAGAGCTGAGGAGTATTCGGACAAATTCGCATGGTAGGGCGAGAATGAAGAAAACAAAATTGGAGGAAGGATAACGAAAAACATTGTAACGGCGATGCCGGAACATGCAACAAGGAGTTATCGCTAGATTGTCTGTTTGATGTTCCTGCCATTCCGACTGCATGCCAAATTTCAATGACCAAGGGGCATGGCGCGAAGCGCCAATGCAGTCTTGCACAAACATATATATATATATATATATATATATATATATATATATATTCATACAAAGACATATGTATCCATACGCATACACAGATTATTTGCTGGATGGGGCCATCAAAATAAAGCCGTCAGGGAATCTTCAATCGTGCCAGAGCACAGGTACTGGCACGTCATTGCCGCGGATCAACGTCACTGTTGCGTCGTCTTGACAGGCGCAAATCGTGTGTGAGCACCATGATCGGAACTTCAACACCGCGAACCAACGTGGCTGTTGCGTCTAAACTATCCTACAGTTTACTAGGTCGCCATTATTGGCACCTCAACCGTCCGAATGTTTGAAACAGTTGCGCATGTTTAAGACGAGTGCGTGCTGCGCTAAGGCGAGAACCGAATTTTGGAGACGAGCCGCCCTCCATGTGTGAAACTGTTGCACATGCAAAGCTCCAGGATCATACACAGTGAGAAAGTTTCTGGCGAAACGCACGGCCCTTCCTGCCGACAAGTATAGGGGTGCGACAGGGAGGAGCGATTTCAAAGGACAAGGGATGGAGGAGCAGGAGGAGAAGGAGGAGCAGGAGCAGCACCAGGAGCAGGATGAGGAAGAGCAAGAGCAAGTGGCACGCGTGCTCTGGCTCTTGCACGAGGGAGCGGCAAGGGACAGAAACGGCGGAGGGGGCGACGGCCAGGGGAGGGGACCGACCAGGACGGCCAGGGGAGGCGGGGGGGGGCAGGGGGAGTGAGTCTCACGACGAACCACGAATCAAGAAAATACAAGGCTCCGAGCTCTAGACCACAACTGTACAAGAGAATCGTGACAGTAATAAGTGGAGGGGGAGGGGGATGAGGAGGAGGAGGAGGAGGAGGAGGAGGAGGAGGAGGAGGAGGAGGAGGAGGGAGGGAGGGGCCGAAGAGATGGAGAAGGTCCTCAGCACCGGCCCGGGGCGCCGCACCTTTCTTCGCCCCGGTGGCCTCCAGATGCCCCTGGGCGCCGTGCAGGGCCAAGGCCGCCTGAAGTCCTCAATTCTCGTGCCCCGTCTCCCGACCCTCCTCAAAACCTCGCTCCTCGGGGTCGCACCCGCGGGGCCCCTGTGGCGGCCAGGCCGCGGCCCGGCGGCCCGCGGAGCGCGGAGGGGAGGAGCGGTGCTACTTGCGAGAGACCGACATCTGGCGATACCTGTACGGCGGGCGGCGGAGGGTCGCACGGCCGGACGTGGCGACGACGGCGGGCAAGCACAGGGTAATGAGGAGTTCGAGGAGGAGGAGGAGGAATGGGAGGAGGAGGAATGGGAGGAGGAATAGGAGGAGGAGGAGAAGGAGGAGGAGAATCGGCGAGATGTCTTGAGATTGGGTGGCCCTTGGTGGCACTGCGCGATGTTGATGCTGGCCCCTCTCGCCAAACCGAGGGCCTAAACATCCACGATCTTCCCAGAATGCGCGCTGTACCTGGCAGACCACCAGTCGCAGTAATCGCCCGTTGAGCCCTGGCGAGCTGGAGTCGGGCGTTATCCCAGAAGACGGTGTCAGAGGGAGCAGAACAATTGAAGAGGGAGAAATAGACACAGACACAGTCAAACGTCGAACACTCGGGAAACATGGGGAAATGCCGAAAGTGGATGGGGAAGACGAAACTCCAGAAAATATGGAAACAGACGGGGAATCCTGGGATTCGTGCCTAGTTGTTTGTGTGTCCCTGGGCCCCCTCAACACCGAGGATGAGAGGGCGGGGAGACAGTGGAGTTCCTGTATCCCGGGGCTGAGCGGCGGACTCGTTGCCGCCTCGCCGTGAGAGCACATGCTGTGGAAAACTAGCGCCGTCGTCGTTGTCGTCATCGTTGTCGTCGTCGTCGTCGTCGTCGTCGTCGTCGTCGTCGTCGTCGTCGTCGTCGCCCACCCCACCGTTCTCCCAGCTCCAGGCTGGATGCTGGCGGGGATGCTGGTCAGGCCGTGAAGTCTTCCGGGCTTAGAGAACGAATCGCCCTCATTCCACCTCCATTCCGCTCCTCAGTTCTTCTCCTCCTTCTCCATCTCCTCCTTCTCCGTCTCCTCCGCCTCCTCCGCCTCCGCCTCCGCCTCCTCCTCCTCCTCCTCCTCCTCCTCCTCCTCCTCCTCCTCCTCCCTCCTTGACCCTCTCATAGAAAGTTCTCGTAGACAACCAGTGATCGTCGAAAGCTCCAAGACATCTCCTGAAAGCATTGCTGTGACGTTGATGTCGAGCATTTGTACGGTTCTCCCCCGCAGTCCTCCTATCGCCTCGTCCTCTTCCCCGCGTTCCCCATCTTCCTCGCAGCTCTCCCAGTCCCGCCCTCACACTCCTCACCCTCGCAGTTGTCCTCACCCCCGCCCCGAGAAGAAAGGTTTCGGATCACTGTTGGGATTCAGGGTTAAAGAGGGTTGAATAAGAGGGGGAAGGAGGAGGCCGTGGCAGGAGGAAGTGGAGGGTCGGGAAGGCCGGCGAAGAGCGTTGCGGAGTGTTGCGGGGGAGAGTTTGGTGGGAGGGTCGCGGAAGGTTGAGTCGGACGGAGGAGAAGGGGGAGGAGGCAAGAAGAGAAGGGAGGAGGATGAAGGTGGTTGGGAAGGAGGTTAGAGCAGTGGGTAAGAGGAGGAGGAGGAGGAGGTTTTGGTAGGAAGGTTGAGGCGGAGGGAGGTTGTCGAGTTGCGGGTTGAGGAAGCGACGAGTATTCACGAGGAAGCCATGTGCAAACCCATTACGAGAGGGACATCGTTGGACGCGCTGCGCATGAGGATTTTAGGGAAGACTCATCTACAACAGGAGCATATTTGCGAATTCTTCCCATCAGGAATATTTGTGTACAACCTCCAAAGACTGAATCTGTCTGCATGCGCTCCACACATGGAATATATCTGCTAGCCCTCCTCGAAAAGATTCTGCTCATAAAGCCATCAGAGGGTTCTGACTTCGCCATTACAGAAATTAACGAAGTGCAGATTTTTCCCGTAGAAGAACGTGCTCAGAACGCCCGTCTAGAAGGGTTCTGATTGAAAATCATCCCTCACAGAAGGGATCGACTTGTCAATCCTCCATCTCTTGTTTTTGGCTTCCCTCTCTCTCTTCTCTCTCTCTCTCTATGTCTCTGCTTCCCTTTCCCTCTCTCTAGATATGGATGCAGAGCGCAAATAGCAATACATATATATATATATATATATATATGCAAATCCCCCTCGCAGAGGGCACCTGTGTACACAACCTCTCCCACATATCAGACATGCTTGTAAAACTTGCGCGTAAGGATTCTCTATTACAAATTTTCCTCACATCATTGATCGATGTGAAGGTGATTCCTTTCTGTGAAGGACTCGTTGGGAATATCCTCCGTCACAGACTGGTTTGGTTTGCAAACCTCTTCACGCAAAAGGGATCCATGTGTCAAGCCCTCAAAAAGGGTGCTACTTAGACATCTACCCTCACATGATGAATCGATGTGTAAACATTCCCACGCAGAAGGGGTTTCGATACGCTTGTAAAGATCACTGAATGATTCGACTTGAAAATCTATTCTCACAGAAGGTACCAGTTTCAAAGACGAGCAAACGCCAAAACATAAACTTTTGGCGCTCCGCGCGGATTTCTTGGATCCGAGCTGGGCGGCGCTTCCGGCGCCGCCCCTGGCGCGCTCCGCGCGCCAGGGAGGGGGGTCCAGATCCGCGCGCAGCGCCAAAAGTTTATGTTCATGCCGTCTTTCAGTTGATCATCCTTCCCTGCAAAAGGGCATCATTTGCACCTCCGTCACAGATTGGCATTTCTTAGACCGCTCGTTTCTCAGGGTTCTATCTGTTGCTTCCAGCGCCTCTCGAGGCATGCCAGCCCCACCGAAGGCGGGGGCCCTCTGCCCCCCGCCCTGGCCCCACCGTGGCCCACCATCGCCGCAGGGCCTCCGAGGTCGATGGGCCCGTTCTGCCCTTCGCCGTTGCCCCCCGTCGCCATCGCGGTCGGGCCCCGGAGATCGGTGGCTCGTTGCCCCCCACCGTTGGCCTCCCCGCGTCTCTGCGCCCCCTCGTCGATCGTTGCCCCCTCCTCGTGGGCAGGCCCATCGCTGCCCCCCGATCGTCGTCCCCTGTCGTCGTCCCCTCCTCGTGGCCTCCCGAGCAGTGGCCCCACATCGTGGACCCCCCGTCGTGGCCCCCCAATCGTGCTCCACTGTGGCTTCCCATCGTGGCCCCCAGTCGTGGCCCCCCCCCTCATGGTCCCCCAGCGTTGTCCCCCGTCGAGGCACCTCGTCGCAGCAGCGTAAGGCTCTGTGTAGGGTCTTCTGCCGCAAGAGTGTCATTCCGTGTGAAGCCCAGGAGCACAGTTCTGTCTGAAAGCGTGTCGTCGCAGGCGGACTTGATTTCTCGAGAACACCGCCTGGATCTCTGCCTCGTTTCAGGAGGGCGAGGAGGAGTGGAGAAAGGCAAGGAAGACAAGTAGGATGTAAACAACTGTTAGGGAGGATGCAAGAGGGCTGAAAGTGCCTCTCCCCCATCCAGTCCGCCACCACTGTTCCCCTTTTTTCTCTGGAGGATCCAATTCAAGAGCTCGATTTCGCAATTCGCCAGTTGCGCTGACCCGATACAAGGAGGGCGCCAGGCATGAGCCAGGGCCTGAAGGCCCTGCACGAGCTGAAGATCTTGCACCGCGACCTCAAGTGCGCCAACGTGTTCCTCAACAGCACTCAAGACCTAGGAGCGGCAGGAGGGTTTGCAGAGTCCTCAAGTCTCTTGGCAGCCACGTGCTTCGGAGGGAGCACCGCGCGCCCGCGAGCCAGAGGGAAAGGAGGAGGGACGCACGAGACAGCTGGCACGGTCCCGGGCGCATGCGCCGCTCGATGGCACGCATCGGCGTGATTGCCGCGGGCTCCCGAAGATCCTCTGGCCGCGCCGCGCCGGCTTTGCGCTGCGGCCGCAGGAATCATCGCGAAGCTCGGCGACTTCAACGTCTCCAAGGTGGCAAAGAGGGGGCTCTGCATGACCCAGACAGGGACGCCCTACTACGCCTCGCCAGAGGCGCGGGGGCCGCTGCTTGGGCCGGCAGGGCCCAGAATGGAACGCTCGTTGCTTCCGCGATTCCCGTCTTTCGCTCAGCATCATGAAACCGATCCCTATCCCCATCCCCATCCCGAGCCCCACCATCCCACCACCCCAGTTGGGGTTCTGCCCTTTGAAACCGAATGGAACAGCGCATATCCCCGTCTAGGTGGGTAAATCGGCCAGAGAGGCCCAGGCCACGCCAGTGGGGACAGGGATCGGATACACGATGCTCGTTCGCCTCCTCCTCCTCCTCCTCCTCCTCCTCCTCCTCCTCCTCCTCCTCCTCCTCCTCCTCCTCCTCCTCCTCCTCCACTGCTAGAACGTGTCCATACCCACCGCCTTTGAGCCGCGCCCTGGAATCTCGCGGACCCGTCGAGGAGCGGCTGGTGCTGGGGGGAAGAGACAAGGGCCCCAAAAGGGCCCTCTGGGGCCCCTTCTGGTCCCCTGCTGACTCCAAGAGGGGCCCTGAAGGGCCCCTTTGGGGCCCTTCCCGCCCCCCATTGAGGTCACCCCCCTCCTCGTCCTCCTCCTCGCTCTCTGCCTCGCCCGCCTGCGGCGGAGCCCGGCGGCCCCCGACGACGACGGCAACGGACGACGGCCGACGGGCGGGCGACGGACAACGGACGACGGACGACGGACGACGGACGACGGACGACGGGCGACGGGCGACGGACGACGGACGACGGACGACAGACGACGACGACGACGACGACGACGACGACGACGACGACGACGACGACGACGACGACGACGACGACGACGACGACGGCCGACGACGGCCGACGACGGCCGACGACGGCCGACGGCGTACAACGTACGCCGCACGACGAATGGCGAACGAGAAACGGCGGAGAACGGGAGGGGGCCGAAGCGGATGGAGGCTCTGCAACGCCCACGTGCAGCGGAGTTCGCAATGTCGCCGATCAGGGCAGCGAGAGCGAGAGTCGTAAAACCTCGCGCAGCTGTGACTAGAACCGGAGCGCGAAACGCGCGTGTGGTTCAATAGCTCTCTCTCTATGTATATAGATCCTCTTCTATCTCTCTCTCTATTGCTTTTTGTTTCTCTCTCTATATATATACACATCTCTCCGTCTCTCTCTCTCTCTCTCTCCCTCCCTCATTATCATTATATGTTAGTATGTATATATATACATATTTCCCTTTAAGAGAGAAGGGAGGGGCAACCATCTTGAGGCTTCTCTGGGGGCTGCATGGGGGACATTTGGAGGGGGATATTTAGGGCGCCTCGCGCCCTCTCAAGGGCGACGGGCGGTGAGAGACCAAAGGCAGTTCGGAACGCAGGTGGCGGTGTTTCGAAGGGGATCTCAGTTATGTTTTTGCCGAATGGGCAGGAGCCAATGGGTGCTCACCGCCTTGACTGATCGCACGGCCAAGATGTGGCGTTCGGGCTCGGCGAATGCCTAAGCATGATGGAGGGCCACGGTGATTTGGTCATCTTCGCAATGTCGTCGCTCGATTGGCTATGCGGCCAAGATCTCATGAGCGGGCACTGGCGGGTGCCTGCGCATCCTGAGGGGCACGGCCAGTTCGTCTATTCCGCCGCATTCTCTCGGTGTCAAGCGCCGGAACACTTGGGAACAAGTGAGGTGGAAAGGGGCGGGACCAGCAGCAGCTGAGATGGCCCGACCCGATTATTCAATCGCTTCGTTCATTCCGCCGGCCCATTTTTGGGCACTGCTGCGTCGACTGGCCAAGTGGTCGTTGGCGGTGTTGAGCTGCATTGGCGTCGGCTGTTTTCTGAGGCGTTGCGTGGGGCATTATGCTGGGGTGATTCGTCTGGATTTCGTGGGAGTTGCAGGGGAATCGGTCGTTTTTCACGGGGCGGCTAGTTGTGTGGTGCTTTGTTGGACTTCGGGTGCCTTCGTGGGGGTTTGCTGGTCGTGGATGCTCACTTTGGGGTTTGTCGATGGGGCGCAGCGGAAATTTGATGCGATGATGGAACCCGAGGAGGACGTGCATGAGGTGAAGACGGTGGAGAAGGAGGATACGAAGGAGGAAGATCGGAGGAGGGAGGGATGAGGAGGAGAATGATGAACAGGGAGAAGGAGGAGGAAGAGGAGGAGGACGATGAGGAAGCGACGGAGGAAGAGGAGAGGATGAGGAAGGAAGGAAGGAGGATGAAGATGATGATGCAAAGAAGCAGAGAAGTAGAAGGAGGAAAAGAAGGAGGAAAAGGGGGATAATGAGGAAAAGTAGCAGGAGGAACGTATCGGAGGCTTTTCGCGGCACGCTTGGAGCCGATGAGGGTTGTCGTCAAGATGCTTCTGTAGGAGGCTTCTCGGTTTTTTTTTGGGAGCGTCTTCTCATACAGCCTCAACTCTGCTGTTTGCCCAAGGGCTCGTTGTGATTGCGGCGGTGTTGGGGTCTCCTGGCAGGTGTCTCGGAAGCCTTTTGGAGGCAGTTTTGAAGCTTCTTGAGGCCTCGTCAGAGCCGTTTGGGTGCCCTGAGGGACTGATTTTGGGCCTCTCGGGGGCGTCTTGGGACTTTGGGGGGCTTCTTGGGAGCCTGCTGGCGGTCTCGGAGGGGCCCCTGGGGTCGGAAAGCTTCAAATGTCATTTCGAGTTCCCTCTCTGGGGGCGTCTTGAACCGTCTAGGAGCCTTCTTGGGCCGTCTTGTAGCCCTCTTGGGCGCATTCTGGGGGGCATGTTGGGCCATCTTGGGCCGATCTCGGGGGGCTCTTGGGCAGTCTTGGACGCTGTGAACCTCCGAACGTCGTCTATGCCAAAAAATGCACTTTCCCCAAAGGAAATGGGACGATTTTTGCTTGTTGGGGCCCTCTTGGAGGGCCTCGTGAGGCTCTCTTGGAGCTTCTCGGCGGCGTCTAGGGCCCTCTGGAGACCATCATGGGCGTCTTGGAGCAATCTTTCGGCGAGTCAGGGCCCCTCGGACCGTCTCGGGGGCGTCTCGGAGCCTTCTTGGGGCGTTCCTGGAGCGCTCTGGGAGGCCTGGAAGGCAGCGCCGAGGAAGAGAACCATCTCTGAGCCGACCTTGCCGGGACCTGGTCGGGGTACTTTTCGTCCAGGAGCCCCCAGACGCCGCCCCGCGCGCGTGAATTAGAATATTGTTAACCAGTTGCTTAAGACCTTAGCACGCCTCTGGCTCGGTGGGCCGGCGAATTATGCCGAGACACGCCGCACACGCTCAGAAGCAAGGGCACGTGAAGTGAGGGGGAAGGGGAGTAGTGCCAGGCGCAGCGGAACAGAACAAAGGCTGGGCTAGGCCAGCCCAGCTTCGCTGGTTGAGTGGGGAGGCAGGTATGGCGCGACATGCCCTACGACGCCAAGAGCGACATGTGGTCTTTGGGTTGCGTGCTCTACGAGATGGCCCGCACGGGGGCAGCATCTCACCAGCAGCGGGCAGCCGCCCGCTGATAGAGATGCAGTCGGGACGGGACGCGTATATTTCTTCGCGTGCGCATGTGTTGTAAGAGTATGTGCTTTACGCGCCTCTCATGCAAACGGATTGCGTTTCGTTGCCGAGCCACCGTGGAAGTGCCACGCAGTCGTATTGTTTTTGAATGTTGCAGATGTAGCTTGCAGTGCAGGGTCGATTCGAGGAGGGGATCCGGTTCCGCGGCACTGGCCTTTGTTCGGACATTGCGATGCATTAGTTGCCCAGTTACCCTCACTGCCATTCACTATGAGATGCGCTGTGCATGGAATGCGTACGTAGCAACCAGCAGAGTCCTGGCACATTCCATACGAACTATGCTTCAGCAGCGTAAGCCCATGAGCAGTGGTAGCCAGTGCTCGATCACGTCTTGCGTATACGCTTCCGCCCGTGCAGAGCAGGTTGCGCTTCAGCCTCCGTTTCGTGCAGAAGATATGGAGGGTCTGTATCGCAAGGCACTAGCCACGATCCTACATCCCTCCTCGACATCAAACGCCATTTTTTCCCGCGACATGGCGGCGCCCCCAGGCCGCCAATTTCAATGTTGACGCCGATGCTGGCGACTGCATTTTTTTTGTTGACCCCGCGGGCCGCGCTGCGCGCGTCCGTCAACACTGAGATTTGGGGACGAGGGGGTACGACAGAATCTGGCGCTCGATTTCGAGGGGGGTTGTGTGCCTCCTTTCTGCCTCTGCTCATCTCTCTTGCTCTCTTGCCTCAGCTGGCAGGCGACGCTGCGTGGGGCCACGCCAGACCGCTCCAGTCCGAGCGCAGCTCGGGGGCCTGGCACGGTTTGGTGCAGGGTCGGGCCGCGCGCTCACACGAAGGATGCACGGCCGGGCGCGAGTTCCAAATCGGGGCCCCAGGCAGAGTTCTGTGCAGGGGGATCCTCTCCCCTAATCACCTCGCCTCCATCTTGCCCTCCCCCATCATCATCAACCTCCTCCTCCTCCTCCTCATCATCATCATCATCGTCATCATCATCATCATCATCATCATCATCATCATCATCATCATCATCATCATCATCATCGTCATCATCATCATCATCAAATGGCGTGAGAGGGACGCATCATCATCATCATCATCATCATCATCATCATCATCATCATCATCATCATCATCATCATCATCATCATCATCATCATCATCATCATCATCATCATCATCAAATCTTGAACCCAGTATCTCGAGCGCAATGTTGTCCTTGCGACCGGTGCCGCCGACCCTGAAGGGGGAGCCAGAGGCGTCTGGGAGGCAAGGGATCGAAGGGGAAAGCTTCTCCCAGGGACTGGCGCTCCTTCCCCAGGGGGGGCGTCACGACCCTGGGGCCCCCCCCCCCCGTACCCCCCCCCCCCGGGACCCCTCCCACTTCTTCCCCTTGCGGCGACCACCCCCCCTCTGGCGGGGGAAGGGATCAAAAAGGGAAGGGGCCTCCATTCGACTCGATTGCGACGTTGCTCGATTTCTCTCTGGCTGGGACGGTTGAAGAGAAGGGCAAAGAGACAGGGACAGGCTGGAGCGGTGACGGCGACAGCGACGACGACGACGACGACGACGACGACGACGACGACGACGACGACGACGACGAAGACGAAGACGAAGACGACGACTCCAACGGAAAAGCCTTTCACACAGTCACACAGGCCGACAGGATCTGCGGACCTGCCAATGTCAAGGCCCCCGGGGGTGCTGGACATTTTGTTCTTTCTAGTTCGGGTGCTGCTGTTGGAAAGAGTTTGCTCCATCAGCCGCATATCCCCAATCTGCCCCTTCCCCTCGCCCCTGCCTACCCTACGGCCAGTCGGGCGGCACCGATTTGAGGCACCGATCGGGGTCGACCCTGCGAGGGTGCGTCGAACGACGGGTGACACAGGAGGAGGAGGAGGAGGAGGAGGCGGAGGAGGAGGAGGAGGAGGAGGCGGAGGAGGAGGGGGACGAGGCAGAGCCGGAGGTGTCTGGGGGGATGATCGATCGATCGATTGGCCGACGATCGATGATCGATGATCGATCGACCGATCGCCGCCGTCCCGGCCCGCAGCGCCGCGCCGGGCCCGACGCGCGCGGTGGCCCCGCCGCGCTGGGCGAAGATGAGGGCGCTGAGTCGCCTGGCACTCGGCCCCGCCAGGCTCGGGGGGAGGGGGGGGGGCGATGGGGCAGCGGGCGCGCGGGGGGAGCTCCTCCTCCTCCTCCTCCTCCTCCTCCCTCCTCCTCCTCCGCCTCCTCCTCCTATTCTCCTCCTTCCTGCTGCACCTCCTCCTCCTCTCCTCCTCCTCCTCCTCCTCCTCCGCCTCATGCTCCTCCTCCTCCTCCTCCTCCTCCTCCTCCTCCTCTCTCCTCCTCTCCTCCTCCTCTCTCCTCCTACTCCTCCTCCTCTCCTCTCCTCCTCCTCTCTCCTCCTCCTCCTCCTCTCCTCCTCTTCCTCCCTCCTCCTCCTCCTCCTCCTCCTCCTCCTCCTCCTCCTCCTCCTCCTCCTCCTCCTCCACCTCCACCTCCTGCTCCTCCTCCTCGTCTTTCTCCTCCTCCTCCTCCTCCTCCTTCTCCTCCTCCTCCTCCTCCTCCTTCTCCCCTTCAGCATCGCCCTCGCTCTCCCTGTTTCGTGGAGGAGGGATCGGGGGCGACCAAGACGGGGTTCACGACTAGGGGGGGTGATGACTAGCGAGGGGCTCCTCTCCTCCTCCCCCTCCCCCTCCTCCTTCTCCTCCGTCTGGGGGCACCCGAGTGGGTCCCCACCCCCATCGCGCAGAAGGGACCCCACGGGCTTTGCGGCCCCAGGGCTTGGCGGTTCAAGTCCAGCGTCTCGTTGCCACCGCGGCCTGGGCCAATCCCGTGTTGGGACCGGCTCCCCAGGCACTCCATAGGGCCTGGGCCGGTCCCCTGTTTGGATCGGCTCCCGGGGTGTTCCAGCCGAGACAGCGGCACCTGCTTCGTTGTGTCCCTCCGGAGGCGGAGTGGGGAGGGAGGGCAGGAGGGAGCCGGGCGGGAACCAGGAGGCGGAGGCGACGGACGTACGGCCGGGGGCCCTGCGCCACTGGTCCCCCCCCATTAGGTGCGCGTACGCCCGCCGGAGGCAAGGAGCAAGGAAGAGGAGGGTGAGGAGAGGGGGAGGACGAAGAGGAAGAGCCTAGAAGGCTCGAGGGAGCGCCCCGGGGCCAGCGCAGTCAAGCCAGCCCAGCTGCCCGTCGGCACTGCAGGGCTAGCTGGGCCTGGACCGCGCCGCACTTGCCAGAGGAGCCACTGTCTGGCCTCACCGCCATTGCGATCTGGGGTCTCCACCACGAACCCTGAGATCCGACGTTGCAAACATACTGCAGCATCGCAGAAAATCACGCCTGGACCCCCGGACCCCATCTTTCTGCTTAAGTTTTCGAGCCGCATCGATCCGTGAGGGCCCCGGGGCCCGAACTCGAGCGAAAACGCCCGTTGTGAAAAATTGCAACGCCAGGATCTCAGGGCTTACCGCCAAGGCGACCCAGGGTCTCCACCACGAAGGGTGTCAGGCGATCCCCTGGGTACGTACTTGGCGTGCTTCTTGTGCTCGCCCCTCCCGGCAGCCCCGCTGGGGCCGTCGCGCCGTTGCCGCTGCCACGTCCTCCGCCGCCGGGTGCTGGGCCGACACGTCGATCCAGGGCCGGCCAGCCCCGTCGTTCCCAGACCCCCTCGAGCAATGAAAAAAATATCCCGGCAAAGCAACCTGACAGCGATATGTAGAAGCATATTTGAAAGCATTCCCCTTAAGATTCAGATGAAAATCCAGTTGTAGAATTCTGCTGTTCTCGCAGTCGTAGTCGCATTCGCGATGACAGTCGCAGCGGCAACGGCAGTCGCAGTCACAGCCTCAGCCTCAGCCTGCCTCAGCCTCAGCCTCAGCCTGCCTCAGCCTCAGCCTGCCTCAGCCTCAGCCTCAGCCTGCTTCAGCCTCAGCCTCAGTCTGCCTTCAGCCTCGGCCTCAGCCTCAGCCTGCCTCAGCCTCAGCCTGCATCAGCCTCAGCCTCAGCCTCAGCCTGCCTCAGCATCAGCCTGCCTCAGCCTCAGCCTCAGCCTGCCTCAGCCTCAGCCTCAGTCTGCTTCAGCCTCAGCCTCAGTCTGCCTTCAGCCTCGGCCTCAGCCTCAGCCTGCCTCAGCCTCAGCCTGCCTCGGCCGCAGCATCAGCTTGCCTCAGCATTCAAAATGTGGCCCAGGAATGGAGTTCTGGGAACTAGAAGAACACGAAGTGGCCTACAGTTGGCTCCGGGCATTCAAAATCATGCCCAGGAATGGAGTTCTGGGAACTTGAAGAGCACGAAGTGGCCTACAGTTGGCTCCGGGCATCAAAATGTGGCCCGGGAATGGAGTTCTGGGAACTCGAAGAGCACGAAGTGGCCTACAGTTGGCTCCGGGCATCCAAAATGTGGCCCGGGAATGGAGTTCTGGGAAATCGAAGAGCACGAAGTGGCCTACAGTTGGCTCCGGGCATCCAAAATGTGGCCCGGGAATGGAGTTCTGGGAGGTCGAAGAGCACGAAGTGTGTGACTGTTGACGAAAAACGAGCCCGGCTCTGTTCCCGGTTCTCCAGAATGTGGCCCGGGAATGGAGTTCTGGGAGGTCAAAGAGCACGAAGTGTGTGACTGTTGGCGAAAAACGATTCCCGGTTCTCCTCCCCGGCACCCGCCCAGACCCCCCTGAGGAGTCATGATGCTCTCTTTTGACCCCACTAGAAACCTATCAGCAAACGCTGTTAGGTAATCACGACGGGGGGGTTTTCACCATTTTCGGCCTCTGGGGGCCCTGGGCCTCGGGACCGTCAAAAAACCACTCAGGATGGGAAACCAGTCCCGGGGAAGGGGTCGAGACCTCTGGGGGTCGACGTCATGAAAACATCATGACGCCGGGGTCTGGGTTATACTCAACGTCAAGGACGGCGCGCTCGACCAGGTCCGCGCCTGGCGGAGTCCGGCTGCTGCCGGCTGCGGACGCGGTCCCAGGCCGGCACCCGCTGCTCCGTCCGCGGCTCCTGGCGCAGGCAGCGTCGGACCGGTCGGGCCACCCCATGCTCGAGGCTGGCGTAGCGGCGTTTCGCCCCGCCGCCCAGCGCGCAGGTGGCCGCGCGCGTGCCTCGCTCGTCCAGCGGCTGTCCGCGCGGGCGCGCCGCGGGCCGCTTGGGCGGCAGGGCTGCGCGGCCGTCAGGGTCTCTGCCTGCGCGCGTGTGTCATCGGCGTCACCCCAACATACGTATACCATCTGTGCGTCGCCCCCCCAGGCGGCGACGCGCGCACCGAGAAATCTTATAGTATAGGTGTCGCGGCCGGCGCTTTCTGGCCACACCGCTCGGGAAAGGACATACTACAAGGTGGGTATACTACATGTTCGGGTCGGACGCGCGTCTCCAACGAGAACATATAGTACTAGTATGTCTCTGTGCGTCCCATGTCAGGCCTGGGCAAGTGCGCGCGGGCACGAAGCCCGGTGGCCCAGAGCGTGTGCGTCCTTCATCGAGCACGCGTGATCGCTCGTGTAGCCGAGGAACCCCGCGGCCCCTGGCCCTCCAGCCCCCAGGAGCGTCGCCCGCTCGTAGCTGCGCCAACGCTGCCGCGGGGCAGCATGGGTTTTCTTTTACACCGCTTGCCCGAGTGTGCTCTGCTGCGCCGGGTGCCGCAGGGCGTCCAGCAAGGAGGCGCCCGGCGCGGTGTCCGCGCCCTGGAGAGGAAAAAACACATAGACGCAATTAAGCGTCGACTTCCAGGGAAGTATGGGAAGTCTGGGGGAAGACGAACATCAAGAAAAGATGCGAAAGGATTGCGAATCTTGCGATTCGTGTCCATCTACTTGTGTGTCCCTGGGCCCCTTACAAGACAGCTCCGTCCGCGCGTCGGAGAGGGCCTCGCCGAGTCGTGCCGCGTCCAGGAGCTCGACCAGTCGGCGCCGAGGTCCGCGCGCCCGCGCTGGCCACGCACGCGGTCCAGCCGGTCGAGGAGGCCGCGGCTCGTCGCGCGGGGTGGGCGCACGGCAGCCCCGCGCCAGAGAGCTTCATTGGGGGGGGGGGGGGGGCCGAGGATCCCCCGCGCCGCGGCGTCCAGGGGCCGCCCGTCGAAAAAGAACATAACGCCATCAACCTAAGCTTGAGGCGCCCCGCGCGGATGTCTTGGATCCGCGCCAGGCCCCCCCCGGCGGCGCCTCTGGCGCCGCCCCTGGCGCGCTCCGCGCGCCAGGGAGGGGGGTCCAGCGCAGATCCAAGAAGTCCGCGCGGAGCGCCAAAAGTTTGTGTTCATGGCGATTTTTCTTCTTCTAGCCCGGCGAGCTCCTCCCAGCAGCCACCCAGAGTGGCGTCGCAGCGAGCCTTCAGTCGGGCCCCCCGTCCTTCTACAGGAGGAACATTCAAACATAGTCAAAACATAGTCTGGGGACGATGTTTCTACAATGTTTGATTTGTTTGGGATTCTGTTTGGATTATTTTTTATTTTTCGCCCAAAATCCGCCTGTCGTGGGGCACGCCCGACCTAAAGTTAGCCGCCTCCGCCTCGTCGACCAGGTGCGCCCGCAGGACGTGCTGGCTCGCAGCGCCCGCTACGAGGTGCGCAACAAGGTCTGCCTGCCGCCGATGCGGCCCGACCCGAGGCCTGTCTCGAGCAGGGCCGATGTTTGGTCGGGAGGGGAAAACATTTTTTTGGTCGGCGGGTCGGGAGCCGGCCCCTTCCGTTCAAGAGCTAGGCGGGGCGCGCGAAGCCCTAATTGGGGAGACAGGGCGCGGGCGGGCGGGGCCTCAGGCGGCCGGAGGGTGCAGAGTACAGGCAGGAGGGGAAAACACGCACGGACACAAATAATCGTCGATCCCCACGAGCATGCGGGAAGAGGTGGGAGGTGGGAGGGGAGGCAAAAATCAAGAACGCTGGAGAAAAGTCGGGGGCTCCTGGGATTTGTGTCTGTGTGTTTATTTGTGTGTCGCTGGGCCCCTTCAATTTGCCCATCCCCTGAGGGCCGACGCTGCAAATGCAACACCGCAAGAAATCACGCCCGATCCCCAGACCCCCATCTTTCTTCTGCTTCGTTTTTCGAGCCGCATCGATCCGTGAGGGCCCCGGGGCCCGAACTCGAGCGAAAACGCCCGTCGTGAAAAAATTGCAACGCCAGGATCTCAGGGAAGGATCCCCAGGGAACGTCGACCCCTTGAGGTCTGGACCCTTCCCCGGGACCGGCTTTCCGTCCCGAGTCGTTTTTGGACGGCCCCGAGGCCTGGGAAGGGGCCCCCGGAGGCCGAAATCGGCGAAATGCCTCCCGTCGTGATTTTTCCGCAGTGCGAGGAGGTCTGGTCTTATGTTGCTCCCATCGTACTTACGGGCCGAGTCCCAGAACTAATTTCGAGCACCCAGAAAAGTATCGAAGCAGTGTCGAACGAGTATCGCCTCCCAGAGCCCGACGCGTGAAAACCCTCCAGAATCGGTGCTTTCCTGGTGCTCGAAAATCTTTTCTGGTGCTTCAGCCTAAAGAAGGCTGGAACATCAGAAGTCTTGATGAGTCTGTTTTCCTCCACCACCACCATAAGTCGGAGGGGGAGAGAGAGAGAGAGGCGGAGGAGGAGGAGGAGGAAGAAGAGGAAGAAGAAGAAGAAGAAGCGGAAGAAGAAGACTAATAATAATAATAATAATAATAATATAAGAATAATAAAAGTAAGAATAATAAGAAGAAGATGAAGAAGATGAACAATAAGAAGAAGAAGAAGAAGAATCATAAGACGAATAATAACAATAATAATAATAAGAAGAAGAAGAAACAGAAGAAGAAGAAGAAGAAGAATAATAATAAGAAGAAGAAGAAGAGGAGGAGGAGGAGGAGGAGGAGGACCCCTCCCCCTCCTGCTGGGCCTTCAACCTGCCCATCCCAAGAGCTGCCCGCCTCCCGCCCGGGAAGCCCGCGCGCTCCCCCCCTTTGCCCCCCCGTGCGCGACGCGGCGGCAGGCGGACCGCACCCCGGGGGCCGGGGCCCGCTCTGCAGCGGGTGTCGCGGGGAGGACCTTCGCCAGGGCCGGGGAGGGGAGGGGGAGGGGAGGGGAGGGGAGGGGAGGGAGCGAGCGAGCGAGCGAGCGAGCGAGCGAGCGAGGGAGGGAGGGAGGGGAGGAGAGGAGGAGGAGAGGAGGAGGAGGAGGAGGAGAGGAGGAGGAGAGGAGGGGAGGAGGAGGAGGAGAGGAGGAGGAGGAGAGGAGGAGAGGAGGAGGAGGAGGAGGAGGAGGAGGAGGAGGAGGAGGAGGAGGAGGAGGAGGAGGAGGAGGAGGGGTAGAACACATCTGCGGAGTGGTGGCCTGCACCTCCTTTGTGAGACACGGTCCGCCGCGAGGCTCCCCAACCCATCAGGAGCGTGGCTCGGCCCCGGGGCCTCTTGGCGCTCACAGGCGGGGAGCGTGACCAGCTTCGGGTTGGCAGCGCCCTGCTGCGCACGAGGCGTTCTCTTCCTTTCTGAGTGCTTCCTCGCGGGCGTGCCCGTGGTTAATGGAGCGCCCTTACCACAGCGCGGATGGCTTCCCGATGGTGTGGCTCCTCCCATACATTTAGCACTCGTCCCAGCGCCAGGGGCTTCGGCGTCCCGATGCTAATCAACGCCGATTCGGGCTCTAGACCATGAAGCCCACTTCCCTGTTCAGTGTGCATCTGCCGAGCCTGGGCCAGCTCTGATCTGCACCATCGGGGGGCATGTGTGGTGGGGGTCATCAGCACGTCACGTTGCAAAATCTAGAGCAGGATTGGACTTAGGTCACGTCTCATGCCAAAGCATGCCCACCGCAGTTGCCAACATTGCGATCCCTGCTCACTGAGTCTTTCACCGGTGAGAGTCTCACGGGTGAAAGACCTGCGCTGCTCCTTCAACCTCGGCCCCCTACACCCCTCCCTCCCCGCCGTTACCTCACTGTGTCCGTTTGCGAGACTGGAGCCAGCAGTGAAAGAAGCATGAGCGAAAGAGTGCAGAGGCTACGCATGTGGATTTGGAGGTCCCCCTCAAGGGGGGGGGAGTCGCATCGGGCCCTTCCCCCCCCTGAATTGCACGGGGGGGGGGTCGAACCGGGGAGGCGGGGCCCGCCCCCTTGCCCTGAATTGCAAGTGGGGGGGGGGTTCGGGCCGCCCCGCCCCTCTCCCCCTGCAGCCGACGACGGCGAGCGCCAGCGCCGGCGCTGTCGGGCAGCGACGACGACGACGACGACGACGACGACGACGACGGTGACAATTGTGACGGCGCCGACGACGCCGACCACGACTAACTACGGTGACGCTGACGACCGAGTCGATGGTTTTCAGCTGCTACGGCCGCCTCGAAAAAAGTTGGCGTAGGGTGGGGTAGAATACAGTGGAGTAGAGTAGATCAGAGTAGAGTAGAGTAGGGTAGATGGTAGAGTAAAGTCGGATATAATACAGTACAGCCGAGTAGAGGAGAGTAGAGTAGAGTAGGACTAGGAGCAGAGTGGAGTAGAGTAGCGTAGTGCAGTGTAGAGTAAGCAAGGGCATGGTAGGGTAGAGTAGAGTAGGGTGGGTAGAACAGAGAGTAGACCAGAGTAGAGTAGAGAAGAGTTGAGCAGAGTAGAATAGAGTAGGGTAGATGGTAGAGTACAGTCGGGTACAATAGAGTAGAGTAGACCAGTTGAAAGAAGCAGAGTGTATTAGAATAGAGTCGAGTAGAATCGGTGTAGAGTGGAGTAGAGTAGGATCGAGTGCGTAGAGTGGGAGTAGAGTAGATCAGAGTAGTGAGTGTAGAGTAGGTTAAGGCAGGATAGGGTGGAGAAGAGTAGGGTAGAGTAGAACAGAGAAGAGTAGAGTATTATAAAGTAGAGACGGGGGGTAGGAGGAGGAGGAGAAGGAGGAGGAAACGGCCAAGCCAAGGAGGAGGAGGAGGACGAAACGGAGTAGCAAACTGATAGTGATGATATGATGATGATGATGATGATGCTGATGCTGATGATGATGATGATTATGATGATGATGACGATG